AAAAAAAAAAAAAAAAAAAAGAAGCCACAACCGTGTTCAATTGAAAGAATAGTAATAATTTACTAGTATAATACCAAAAAAAGAAAAGAATCTACAGTAGGTTCCCCTGTGGTCGCTCGCTCGGGCGGCCTGTCTGTCGGGGGCAGCAGGCTGGGTCGGGTTTTTTTTTTGTTTTTTTTTTGGGAGGGGCCGGTTTTCTAGCTTAGCTAAATCCGCCTGCGGCGCTTGGCAACCTATCGTCCATGCCCATGAGTTCGAAAACGAATTTACTGATTCGGTAAGACATGAGTTCGAACGCCAGGCTTAACGACTTATCGCTCGTCATGCCTTCCGAGGATCTAATCAAAACAGAAAAGCAAATAGAAATTTAAAATATTAAAATAAAAGGCGACCGATTTGAAATTGGCGGCAGGCAGCGTCACACCTCGAAAGATACTCTCCACCGTGGCCTGTTGTGCGGCCTGAGCGAACCCGGCCCAGGGAGCTCAAATGGCCAGACACACAAATACCACCTCTCTCTCGCTCCCTCTCTCGCCCTCTCTTCTCCCCCCCCCTCTCCCCCTTGCCAACACTAACGGCCATGCAAATCCCACCTGGCCGGCTAGCTCATCCACAGCCAGATATCATTTCCACGTGCTCAGTGGCCGCGACCACAGCATCCCGATACCTGTAGCAAATCTTCGGATTCCAGTCGCCGTGGCGCCCCACGCTCGACAACTCGCCCGGCGAGCTCCCACTGCCTTAAGCAAGGACGATTGGATTTAATAACGCCCGAATCTGGGCGTGATTCTGGAGTGGTGCAGAAACTCACGATTGTATATAACGCCGTGGAGGCTGCACGCTCGACCAACTCCTTCGTTACAATTGACCATCTAGAAGCCTCTCGAAAAAGAGAAACAAGAAAACAAAAGAGCAGTCCCCCCTATCGGTTTGCGTTCGCCGGGGCTAGGTCCCACTTGCACGAAGTAAGAGATATACGGACCGTAGATATGAAAGATCAACGGCTGAAATCTCCTAATTTGTGCAAGTGGGACCTTGCCCCCCGACCCCCACCGGCGGCCCCACCCCAACTCTGACTACGGCTGTTGGGGCGGGGGGCAACATGATTTACCTCGTTTGGGAGGCTCTATGCTTGCAGGGGTCCCCTGTATAGAGCAGTGGTAGGAAGGTAGTGAAAGCCTCTCAAGAAAAAGGAGGAAGGCAAAAAAAAAAAAAAAAAAAAAAAAAAAAAAAGAGTGAGAGAAAGGGGGGGATGAATAAAAGGAAAAAAAAAATGGTCCATATCATATGCTCATTGGCTGTAGTCCCCTCACCCATCCTTGTGCTCGCTGTCCATGGGCCTGAAGCCCCCGGCCGAAAGGGGTACCCTTTCGGTCGAAAGGGACCCCCAAAAGAATGTACCTTCCTGATTCCAATTGAACTGTAGATTACCAAGATCAATGTCCAAAAATGAAAGATTGGGAGATCCGGGTCGGTGGGACCTACCGCCTGTTCACCCAAAGCAGAGTACTGCTCTTAGGGGTTTATAATGTAAGAGCATTTCTATTAGGGCCTCGGCCAGTAGGGAAGAGCAGCAGGCGTTGCACACTCTGGCCAGCCTTCAAGTTGGAAGGCAGCTTCTTCAACTTAGGCTTGGACCCCACTGGCGGGCGGCTGGATTTGTTGTGGCGTGGAAGGGCGATTTCGGACCCCACTAAGCCGCCAGGAATTTTTTTGGGGAATGCAGACGTCTTTTCCAGACCCCACTGGCATTCTTGAAACACTGTTGGCCGTGTTTCTACGTGGCTGGCGGCTGGAAACTCTCCGCCAGAAACTGGCGGTCCTTTTCCAAAACGTCCTCCAGCAGGGTAGGGAGTACAAAGTGCCAACCGTTGGTGGTACAGTAAACAGGCGTAGCGGAAATACTTTTGGTCCAGGCCGAAACGGCACGAACGAAGTGCATGTCGCACGACTCATCGAAACTGGCCGTTGGTGGTCCGCTGGTCCATGCAGGCCGTCCTTACTTTCCTTTTCCGGAGGTGCCCTTTTTGGGTTTCCTAATGCGGCAAGCATGGCCGTTTCCAAAACCCCGCCAAGCGTCGAAACGTGCCAATTCCTTTCCACCGATGTTGGCCACAAACCGGCGGCCAAGTACCTTTTCCAGCCGCCGGCCAGTGGGGTCCAAGCCTTACTAGGCTCATGTGAACTGGTGGTTTGAACCACTTGTACTTTGGGAACTGGCAGCTTGCATGCTGCCAGCCATTGCTACAGTGTCAAGACGTTGTCGAGCCCATCGGTCCCACAGAGGGGACCCTCCCAGCCGCGTCATGCAGGATTTTGCAAGACTTTGTCGTAGAGCGTTGCCGCTCCGGCCGAGTGCACCACCTATACCTCTCGCGAACCCCTACGACAGGATAGGGCCACGCGAGGTACAACTTACCTCCACCTGCGGGAATTGTCACCATCAGTGCCGGTCCTGTGAACGTGACCGGCACCGGTCACTTGAACGTGACCGGCCGGTCACGGGGGCCAAAATCTGTGAACGGTCGTTCACGTGGTTTCCGCCCATGTGGAGGCCGGAACGGTCGGGATCGGGGC